TTGGTAAATCTTTTTATTTGACCGACGTTTCGGCTATATCACCTTCTTCGGGTCTATACTGTTGATTTTTAGAAGTTCCAGTCGTAGTCATACCTCTGCGACTGAGCAGCGCCTCCATTATTTTGTCCAGTTCCTACATCTGTAAACTGTTGGTTTGAGTAAGGTGTAAAAGATTGTAGCATCCAATCTTCATTTACCTGCAATCCTACAGTACTTTTCTATGCATGCAGAATTCAGTAAACTGATACCCAACTATACGAACCTCTTCATGAGTTCATGATGCCCCTTCATAATGACGTGAGGGGCCACTAACAATTACATTTAAACACGCCAAGTAAAAACACATCGAAGTCTTAACGGTGTTTTTTTTGTATCTGTTCTGGTGATAATACCGCTGGTGTGGGGCGAGAAGTTTATCGTGTCAATACAGGTGGCAGGAAGTGACGGAAAGTGCGATTATCTTTTTCATCTGGCCATTGGATTTGTACGAGGCACAACCGCTAATTCATCTCACATTTATCCTCATGCAAGGCTCCAGGCACTTCAGGTAATTTGGATATGAGCGACACTGGATCCGGGAAACGCTTACACTTCCCCACACGCTGGTCGAGGTTTCCGTCGAAAACGTAGAATACGAGTTCGGCCTCGGCTACCTGCGATCCATCAGCGACGACGATGGTCTGTGTCTGTATGCTTCTGGCATTCACCATCGTTACTTGTTGCAACCATGTCGAGTCCTAATTTTCTGCTTGGTTATGTCACGTATTTTCTTTCCCAGTCTCATTCTATGTTCTTCAATTCGCACTCGAATGAAGAGTATCGCGACAAGGTGATGTAGATAGTGAATGAAAATGTCGATTGTTCATGACATAAACTTACTCGACAAAGGATCCTTAGCTTTCCTCGATTGCACAGGCTAAATTGGGTTCTTGTCGGCTTTTCAGACCCAAATATTGTGATAAAAATCTTCACAAACAAATCTTGCTTATGTAAGCAGAGAATCGAGTGA